TAGTAATTCACTTTAACTGTACTCATCATTGCCAAAAAGCAACAGATGAAAAAGATGGTTCAGGTAATTGGCCAATGTGTATTTTTTGTATAATATAGAAGAAAATCGAAATAAAAAAGCTTTTAAGAAAAACAAATTAAAGCATAATGGGCCTTTAAAACGTTATTTTTAACCCTCGGGGAGATCGATACCCCACAATCCCCTATATACCCCCTGTGAGAATTTTACATTATTCTGAAGCTCCGCTCTTAATGTACTTAAATAGTTGATATTTTTAGTACTGCCTGTACGGACTACTACTTAAAGCCGCATCTACACCTAGTTAAGTTTCTTGCTAAATAAATGGCTATTTCAACATAATAATTATCAGGCACATTTGTTACTGAAATTTCTTACTAAGATTACCCAGAATTTATACCTTTGTCTATGCTAAGACTATCATATTTCTATAAAATGTGTAAATAAAAAAACGGGAAAATAATGCATTTAGCTAAAAACAATGGAGTTAATGAAACGTGTACATTCTTTTAAAATAAATGGAAAATTTGAGAAAAAAATATTTTAAGCTTAATAATTGATACAAATTATTTGGTAATTTATTTGGTGAAAGTTCTTCACTTACTAATCAATACCATTTAAATCCCTATTGATTCTACTATAATTCAGGGCACATGTTTGTGTCTATTTAATACCTTGATTTTTTATTTACCATTGGTTATTTAAAACAAAATGAACATTAATTTTCTTATGACCCCAAAGTGCGGTCGTTTGCCTGATGTTAAAAAATGCATATGTACCTGTTTAACGCAGGTCGGACCCCAAAGTGCGTTTGACCACAAAGTGCGGTGTTACAACGCTCTTTTATTTCATTTCGTTGTGTGTATTTGATTCTACATTATCCGTATTAATACTTCTTAAAAGTTCAGCTGGTCAATTGTTTTTTCATATATAGAGTTTTCAAGCAAATCTTAAGAATTAGGGTTAAACCGTACGTACTTGCTGTTTGATAAACAGAATAAAACCGCTTGCTTGATAGCTGCTTAACTGACTTCAATATAATATAAATGATTCTTGCACAAAGTACATATCGATAATGCTGACAGGACATGCTTAATAAAAATACATATTTACAATCATATCGTCTTGAAATTACGAAAAATAACATGACACTAAATGTGTAACATTACTGCAATATTATTTAATTAAGTCAGACAAGGAAGTGTAGAATAATTGTATCAATAATTTAATAAACAATAAATAATTCCCAAACAATCAAATTCAAGTATGTATTTATAAATGGCTGAAAAATGACCAAACAATGCGAATATTAAGGCAGGGATGTCATTTTTCCATAGTTTTACGTTCAAGTAGACATATAGAACATATACAATAGTTACAACTATCATTACATATCATTAGTATCGACTGATTGACTTATTTTCTACTCCTGCTGGTCAATGAATATTTGAAGCCGTCTACCGCTTCTCTTTTCTTATGCAAAAGGTTTTGGAAAAAGGGAGATCCTCAACAAGCAATTAAACAACATCAGTATGTGAAAATCGCAATTTTTGATAAATTTTATAATACTTCAACAACAACAATAGTTGCTGTTTTGTTGAAATTAAATGGTTTTGTAAGCATAACTGTATCATTTATTTTAAAGTTTGTATTATTAACATGACTAGTCAAACTAAGTGTAATTTTCATGTGATTTTGTTGTTTTATTGCCTCCAAATGATCAATCTATTTACAGTGTTTTTTTATAATTCTTTCTTTATAATAAAAAATATTCATCGTAGATACACTTATATGTATTTAGCGCACTAAATATTCATTTAATTTATCACAGTTTTTTTCTAATGGCTACATTGTTGATAGGCATGATACATTGTTGATAGGCATAATATGTTTTAAAAGTATGAACTGTTTCACCTAATCTAAAATATATGTTAACATGAACATCATCATTACATATATAGTTATGTTGTAATTGATACATGAATACATATGTAAATGTTGACATATATATTATTATCATTCGGATAACATAGATGTAAGCAAAATTAAACTAAGATTTAACGTAATTGTATACATATCATTAAACAAAACAATTTCGGAGAATCCCATTCACACTAATTGAAATAAAAAAACTCACTTTTAGGAGTATTGTGTTTGAGACATTTTATATGGCTCTTTTAGCCGATTGAATAGAATTCTAAACTTGACTTAGAGAAATGTTAGCGTGCTGGGGTGTCAGTTACATTACTCATTCTTATCAATAAATTATTGTCTGTTAACATCACTCGGAATGTCTTGGGACTGTTCAGTCCATCAATCTTACGTAAGTTCGTTTCAAAGACATACAATTAAGATTTATCGGTATTATAATTTCACTGAATGTCATCTTTAACGTAGTGATAAAGAGACTTAAGTACTGATTTCTTTTTATTTCGTTTTAAGTTCATTAAAGTATTTAAAATCTAAGCTGTAAATGTTTAGATACTACATAAGAGAAGAGTGTTTATGAATATGAGAAACGCGTCCTTCCCGTCGGAAAACGTAGAACATGTTTTAGCTTCTTCTTTCGATGGGTTAACCTAAAACATAATATGTTCATATAATGCTAATTAAGGTTTTTGTTGACATTATATTGAATACTTATATATTGGTGTCTTGACTTTAATCAGTTTTAAATTCAAACTTCTTTGAATGTTAATTTATTGTACATAACTATTCAACACCAGGTTGAAATAAATTTGACGTTCATCAATCATAATTTAACAGCAGTAATAGATTTCACTAACGGTATATTTGATCGCATAATTATGCGATATTCAAAACTTTCTCCGTGGCGAAAACAAAATTCTTAAATGATTCGCATCATAAGACAGCGTTGTGAAAACCCCAGATTTAACAAGTCAGGATCGCCTGGAAGCTCTTATCAGTTTCAGGAGAAATATTTCTCAGTTCAAACAAGCAACGTGGGTGTTATCTAATAATATTGTCTAAGTAATACAGTGAAAGTATCAAAGCAAGCTCCGACCATACATCTTGATAACATATGTTTTTATTCAATAAAATTTACACACGTTGACATTCTTTTTATTTTTACATTTTAGCATTTTAACTGAATGCACATTATTGTTTTTGTTTATACATTGTATTCGTATCTGTTGGAATTTTCATTTAAAACTGTTTTAGCTTTTGCTTTTCTCAAGCAGTTTCTTGAGTAATTTTGCATTTTTGACTTCTGATTATAGGTTGTGAAACGACATGCATTCTGAGTCTCGTAACATGGAATTTCTATTAAGTCTTCAATCACATCATTATCGTGCCAATGGAATACTTTATCACTTCTTCTATGTCTCATCATGTCTCGATCGCCGGAAATATAAAAAAAACATTTTTGTTATCACGTAATCATATATTCTCTTAGATCAATTTTGTACTGCTTTGGATTCCTTATACGTTTATTAAAGAAAATTATACAAAACAGTAACATGATTATTGACATATTTGATAGTCATTACTTTCGGTGTTTTATAAAAAGATGTATGCCCCTAGTAATGACTCGGATCAGTGTAAAATAATATCGTTTGAGACCAATTAAACCTTATTTTGCTCAAACGTTAAGTGATTAACCTTTGCCACTTGTACAGAGTCAGTTCAACCTGTACATATATACTGTTGGCTGACCAACTTTAGATATTATATCATATTGACATAGTTGATAATGGACACTTACAGGAAATGAAGCTTGGAAAGCTCTTTTAATAAATTCGGCCATACAGGGAAGTGTATATTAATCTGTAGACAATTCGTCATGTATATATTCAGTTCAGCATTTCTACGTATTAAAAAAAGAATTTCCAGATAAATATTACCGTTAAACTGAAATCTAAAGACTGAAGTATAGTCAGTATTGCATAGAATTCCGATTTAATTCCTCCATAGATAATTTATGACCAGATAAAGCAATGAATAGTATCTTGCACATATTCCATTTTATTTCTAATTACAACATGTGTTTAAAAGCTAGGGAATAAAACAGACCAATTAGATTGTGACAGTTGTTTAATATGTGCGGCACCGTAATTCTACACCTTTTATTTTCAAATAAATCAATACTTAAGAATGGGTTAAAAGAATTCAATTCACAATTTATGGTTGATCAAAGGCCTATACTGTGCTAATCGTTTTTAAGCCTGTGCACGTATAGCTTTTGAAATCATTAATTATTTTTGTATTTGTTTTTGTTTGTTTGGTGCACCAAACAAAATAATAAAATGCTTTTCTATAAAGATATGTTTGTTTTGTGTATATGTTTTATAACTGTTTTGTCTAAATTCATAATGACTTATCTTGTTAATGTATCTATTGTTTGTCACTCAACTTGTAACAATCATTTTTCTGTTTTGAAAAATAAAGATGGTGTTACAGAACACCAGAGACGATAAGCAGACTCATTTCCTTATTTGTATAATGCCGTCGCAATAAGTAAAAATTTAAACATTATCTTCTTTTGATTCTTATAACTTTGTAATTATCTAAAACATGCCATTGGCACGAGTATACATGTATTAATATTTGATCATTGACTTGCCAATTATTTAACAAGTTTGTTTAACAGCCAAATATGAAGAAAATATTGTCCTCGAATGGGGTAAGGAATTTACGTGTCTTGATCTCTTAATTATACATTTTAGTATATACATGTACTACTACGGAAAAATAATGACCATGGTGAAGTTTCTAACTCACTTTGCATGGTCTTCAAATTTCAAGTTAGCTCAAAAGTGTTCATTTCATGCCCTCGAAGTACTCCCCGTGGCTAGAAATGCAAAGTTTCAGCCGATATATCCACTTCTTAAAGTCGTCACGGTTCGCTTATTTGGGCACAGTAATAAGGTACTGATGAATGGCAGATCCAAGTGCCTGTCGGGACTTGTATTTCCGCCCAGCAAGAAAGGATTTCAATTTCGGAAACAAAAAGAAAACACATGGGACAAGGTCTGGTGGAGCATATGTAAGTTAAACGTTCCTTTGAAAACAACATGTCCTGTTCAAGCCTGATAAAAAGAAATTGTGGGTTTTTATAGGACATTAACATAATATACAATTTGCAAATATTTGTTACATTTCCTCCAAAATGGCTGCCATATTTTTAACAGGAATATGAGAGATTCTAATAAATGATTTTTTTAAATAATTAATATTATCCTTTTTTCGCACAATTGCCCATGTTGCCAATTTAGATAAGAGAAATAACGTCCAGATAACTTTGACTGTCTTTATCAAGTCTGTCATCGTTTAAAATGATGTAAAATTGATTATATTTGTTTTATATCAAACTGTAGTTGTAAGTTGTAAGAAGTAATGAAAGCAAATGTATATGTTCTATTTACAATATTTGTCTTATTTGATCAGGTATCCAAGCTATAAATTTGGACCCAGGTGCCTGCAACAACATAATTATCATTCCCGCTCGTCTAGATGCCTAATCAAGGTTATATCATGAATTCATTACATCACTTTCTCTTTAATGATTATCAAAATCAAATAAAATGATAACCATGGTAATCATATTACGTAAAATAAAACAAGCTTTTACATCACCAATAGACGTTATCGAAGCAATTGAAACGAATGATCCACTTCATAGCATTCAATACATATTCTTCCTGTATGTCTCCATTGTTTATTGGTCAATTGTTTACATTATTGGCTAATTGTCTGACCAATTCATCGTCTGCCTTGTGCAATTGTGTCCTAGCAGTAATATATTGTTCAATAACGCAACAAGTAACTTATATGACAATTATCTCGTACAAAGACAATGATAAGTCTACTACACAACTAAATTTCTTGAAAAAACTATAAAGTAAATTTACATAACATCAGAAAATAGGTTATATAGAAATTATTTTCTTATCACAGAAAAATTCACTAAAATTTCCAAATTTAGGTAAAAAATGTGAATTCAAATTTATGTTTAATACAAATGAATAGTCAGAATAAATAAAACTATCTATCTAACTATCAAAACTTTAATCAAGGTTTAAGGTGTTGCATTCTTAGAAAAAGGCCTTGTAAAAAGGGACTATTTTCGGATTTATTTTGGTTTTAACTGAATAAAAACAACTAAAACTTTAAAAATAACCAAAATACGAAAAGTTCAAATAATAAGTCAGTATGTAAAAACTTGATAGAACTTAAATGGAAATGAATGTAGTTTGCATTACAATTGAACTATACAAATAACGCAACAAATACATCAGCGAAAGCTTAATGATTTAGTGAAGTACAAGCAAATGAGCATAAAGATCAACAAAGTAAGGCGACGTTCACAGAACGCAAGCCCCGACATAACCCAGCACATCTAGCAGACATAGAACGCAAGTCCCGACATAACCCAGCACTTCTTACAGACACAGAACGCAAGCCCCGACATAACTCAGCACATCTAGCAGACACAGAACGCCAGCCCCGACATAACCCAGCACATCTAGCAGACATAGATTGCAAGCCCCGACATAACCCAGCACATCTAACAGACACAGAACGCAAGCCCCGACATAACCCAACACATCTAGCAGACATAGAACGCAAGCCCCGACATAACCCAGCACATCTTACAGACACAGAACGCAAGCCCCGACATAACCCAGCACATCTAGCAGACACAGAACGCAAGCCCCGACATATCCCAGCACATCTAGCAGACACAGAACTCAAGCCCCGACATAACCCAGCACATCTAGCAGACAAAGAACGCAAGCCCCGACATAACCCAGCACATCTAACAGACACAGAACACAAGCCCCGACATAACCCAGCACATCTAGCAGACACAGAACGCAAGCCCCGACATAACCCAGCACATCTAGCAGACACAGAACGCAAGCCCCGACATAACCCAGCACATCTAACAGACACAGAACGCAAGCCCCGACATAACCCAGCACATCTAGCAGACACAGAACGCAAGCCCCGACATAACCCAGCACATCTAACTGTCACAGAACGCAAGCCCCGACATAACCCAGCACATCTAGCAGACACAGAACGCAAGCCCCGACATAACCCAGCACATCTAGCAGACACAGAACGCAAGCCCCGACATAACCCAGCACATCTAGCAGACACAGAACGCAAGCCCCGACATAACCCAGCACATCTAGCAGACACAGACCGCAAGCCCCGACATAACCCAGCACATCTAGCAGACACAGAACGCAAGCCCCGACACAACCCAGCACATCTAACAGACACAGAACGCAAGCCCCGACATAACCCAGCACATCTAGCAGAGAATTTAGAAGCTACCGACTCAGCCAAAGAGAGGACATAACAACAGATAACGTGGGGGGACAATAACTGTAACAATTAAAAAGTGAAACGGTAAGAACTAAGATATAAGAATTAAAGGGATAAAGTTGGGGTTCAAGGAAAGGATGGGTGCAAAATATTTGATATGAAGGAAATAAACATGCCTTTGTCCTCAAATAAGATAATAATGGACTGAAATTATATTGAGATGCAATCCTTACCATTAACTGCAAATGAAATAAGTCACGTACATAACAGTAATGCAATTGTTTTAACTATATACCAGGGATATACACAAATACTGAATATGTTTTTTGGATGATTACCAGTAAGAAAAGAAGCGCCTGAAGCTATTTTTGTTTCATTCATTCCAAATCATTGGTCAAACTGCTCAAATGAATGAACTAAGTTCCTATATCATTGTTTAATTCTTTTCTTCAAAGTATGAATTTAACCTTGATCAAGCGTTGTTTATTTCTATAACGTACTTGAGCAAAAATGTTTATGACTTCTTTAAGATTGGGAACAAGATTTGATTTCCAAAGACGCACCTAATGGTTGATGGATTAGCAAATTATAGATAGAAAAAGTAAACATTTCATACATAGATCTTGATCAAACTCACGAAAATTATCAAACAATATATCGTATGAGCGTGAAGACGTCATAAACAAGAACGAATTTAAAGTTTATGGAATTTTTTATCCATGCTATGTGTGTTTCATGAAATAAAAACTCAGCATGTAAACTCGAAAGATCAAAAACATGATTCATATTAAATGTTGTATTAAATCGACATGCATTTGTTCATACCTGTATCATAGAACGGAGTGTTAACAATTTTGTGAAGCACTGAAAGTAAGAGTCCTAGATAATAGAAAATAAAAGCAACTAAGCACATTCTTTTCGAATTCTTGACTTCAGATATTTCTTCCTTTTTTAATCGTGCACATTTTTTAAAAAATTAATTGAAAACTTTTGTTGACTAACGGCAAAGTATAGAAATAAAAATATCTCCCAAAACACACTCAAACAAACAAATCTTTGTTCCTTACTAAATTATTCAGTATTCTAAACTTTATGGAAATATTCTGACATTTACAAACATCGGTGATAATACATCTTTCTAACATACGTAATATATTGATTCCGAAGACATTTTAATGTTTCGACAGAAGTAAATATCCTTAAAAAAGAGTGATTGTAAATATTTTGTGAGAAAATATGAAATCACACAATTAGGAAAATGTATATTTGTATGTGACATAAGTTGCAAACCGTTAAAATGTATAATACCATTAAATTTTGCCCTTATATATAGATTTGATTCTGCAATGTATCAAGGGCAAAAAAGCCAAGAATTAAAACATGTTATTAATATGACATCCACGAGGAAGTGGATAATCCTGACATAACTCTAATATGAAACAAGTCAGCGTCAGGTTTACCATAAAATATCTTACATTCTAGATTTGATATTTCTAGACAAACAAATGTTGTGAACATGTAAATAGTTCACTACACACGTTGTTCTTCTCATATCAGTAACAATAGAATAATCAAAAGATTGTGCATCATATCTCTTTCTTCATTTGGAAAAAAATGTGGAATAAAATACACATACTTCTATATAATTACCATGTATATTATTGATAGATATTATTTTTTAACAAAAATAATAAGTTGATAATAGGTTCTTTATAATTTGTACAATGCGATAATCCAATTTAGTTATTTTCTGTTTGGAACACTGCAAGATTCAATATTTTCTTTATAAGACAAATGTATAAATAATATAAATGATTAAAGCATTGAAAGCAAACTTTACTGCCGAATGTTAACTTTGATGAGAATTTGTTAAGTGAACAAGGTACATGTAATTAATATTGAAATCATTTAATTTTTTTACACAAAAGTATTTGGATATAGAATGATGTGTTATTTGACATTGTTCTGTACACAACACGTTTCTGAACTGCTTGTAAATTGTATTTGTGATGTGAAGCCGAATATATGCTAGTATTGTACCATGAAATATTTCAAAATCTTCCCAAAGTTGACAACGCTCCTTTAACTGTAAGCCCTTTTCAACAAAATTCATGTATGATATCCATACACATTTTACTATTTCATGTTGTATTTGTCACTTGACTTAACATCAAGTTCACTTGACTAAACATCAAGTTCACTTTACTTAACATCAAGTTAGGAAAATTATTGCAAAATGAATCAAAATATTAAAAGAGCAGAATGATACACCATATTAATCGTAAATCTGTGTTAATGATAAACTGTGACCGTGGACAACATTTATTTGATTCAGAGCAGAAAAAGTATATTTCTGGCACTATTAATGATAAATGTGACCGTGTGCAACATTTATTTGAATCAGAGCAGAAGAAGTCTATTTCTGGCACTATTAATGATAAATGTGACCGTGGGCAACATTTATTTGAATTAGAGCAGAAAAAGTTTATTTCTGGCACTATAAATGATAAATGTGACCGTGGGCAACATTTATTTGAATCAGAGCAGAAACAGTCTATTTCTGGCACTATTAATGATAAATGTGACCGTGGGCAACATTTATTTGATTCAGAGCAGAAAAAGTCTATTTCTGGCACTATTAATGATAAATGTGACCGTGGGCAACATTTATTTGAATCAGAGCAGAAAAAGTCTATTTCTGGCACTATTAATGATAAATGTGACCTTGGGCAACATTTATTTGAATCAGAGCAGAAAAAGTCTATTTCTGGCACTATAAATGATAAATGTGACCGTGTGCAACATTTGGTTGAATCAGAGCAGAAAAAGTCTATTTCTGGCACTATTAATGATAAATGTGACCGTGGGCAACATTTATTTGAATCACAGCAGAAAAAGTTTATTTCTGGCACTATTAATGATAAATGTGACCGTGGGCAACATTTATTTGAATCAGAGCAGAAAACAGTCTATTTCTGGCACTATTAATGATAAATGTGACCGTGGGCAACATTTATTTGATTCAGAGCAGAAAAAGTCTATTTCTGGCACTATTAATGATAAATGTGACCGTGTGCAACATTTATTTGAATTCAGAGCAGAAAAAGTCTATTTATGGCACTATTAATGATAAATGTGACTGTGTGCAACATTTATTTGATTCAGAGCAGAAAAAGTCTATTTATGGCACTATTAATGATAAATGTGACCGTGGGCAACATTTATTTGAATCAGAGCAGAAAAAGTCTATTTCTGGCACTATTAATGATAAATGTGACCGTGGGCAACATTTATTTGATTCAGAGCAGAAAAAGTCTATTTCTGGCACTATTAATGATAAATGTGACCGTGGGCAACATTTATTTGAATCAGAGCAGAAAAAGTCTATTTCTGGCACTATTAATGATAAATGTGACCGTGGGCAAACATTTATTTGATTCAGAGCAGAAAAAGTCTATTTCTGGCACTATTAATGATAAATGTGACCGTGGGCAACATTTATTTGAATCAGAAGCAGAAAAAGTCTATTTCTGGCACTATTAATGATAAATGTGACCGTGGGCAACATTTATTTGAATCAGAGCAGAAAAGTATATTTCTGGCACTATTAATGATAAATGTGACCGTGGGCAACATTTATTTTGAATCAGAGCAGAAACAGTCTATTTCTGGCACTATTAATGATAAATGTGACCGTGTGCAACATTTATTTGATTCAGAGCAGAAAAAGTCTATTTCTGGCACTATTAATGATAAATGTGACCGTGGGCAACATTTATTTGATTCAGAGCAGAAAAAGTCTATTTCTGGCACTATTAATGATAAATGTGACCGTGGGCAACATTTATTTGATTCAGAGCAGAAAAAGTCTATTTCTGGCACTATTAATGATAAATGTGACCGTGGGCAACATTTATTTGAATCAGAGCAGAAACAGTCTATTTCTGGCACTATTAATGATAAATGAGACCGTGGGCAACATTTATTTGATTCAGAGCAGAAACAGTCTATTTCTGGCACTATTAATGATAAATGTGACCGTGGGCAACATTTATTTGATTCAGAGCAGAAAAAGTATATTTCTGGCCCCAATTTTTAAACAATGTGGTCAAATTTCAATCATTATGGAAGATGATCAGTCAGTACCAAGTACTGACAGTATTTTCTTAGTTTGGTTATCTTTATTAAACACTTTGTGATAGCATTGAATATTTGTTGATGATTTTCAGCTCATGTTGTGTTCTATATGACATTAGATTTACAGAAAAAAGTCTTTATGTTGCGAAGTTCATTTATATAATAAATGCTGTCAGTAAACTCTCACATTTTCAGATATGTTATGTTAAAGAAAGACATCACTTAAAAAAGAATATAAAAAGCATCAATTAAAGACAAACTATTCCATGTAGGGCAAACCATATTTCTTCTTTACATTTTGTTACATTGATTTGTTTGATTTATTTGCAATTAAGTACATGATATCTTATACAAGTTGTTAAACTGTACACTGACTCGAAACATGTTTTATCAAAGTAGCAGAGTAATTCAGACAAAACAAAATTGCTTTCATTAAAATAGACAATTGAGTGACACCATGTTACAATCACATTTACATTGCAAATAACTTGTTTTATTCAAATAATTATTTCATTTTTCGCCATGTTTCAAAGAGTAAAAGCTCTTTGTATTATTTACAAATGTATTTGTTATGGTTTATTTAAGGTTTTGATAAGTCACTTTGTTTTGATATATTAGATTTGTCCTTCATTTTTGATATTTCGCACTAAAAATGTATCTAAGCACTGTTTATTGCACAAACTGTAATACAAATATTTTTCTCTCAGATTTTGAATATTTGATTTTCTTGGCCCTGTTATGATATAAAATATATCATTTACTTTTTGTAATAACAGTTTTAGTTAAGACACACGCAAATAATGATTTTCCCTTAGAAAATCCTTGACAATATACCCAGGCAAGTTGTAGACGATAGTTATGTGAAATGTGTGTACCCTTTAGAAAACTAGGGGGAGT